CGGGGGGGGGGGGGGGTTGTTGAAACTTCATGCTTCCCCTCGTTGGCCTAGACACCAAATTATTGTCTACCGGCTACTGTTTATTTATTGATTTATTGTCCATCGGCTTACTGTTCATTGACTATTGTCCATCCATACTTTGGTATTGTTTATATCCGCGAATTACTGTTTTTCGTCCACTCTGATCAGAGCCAACTCCGCTCTAATCTGCCCTCACCTTGTGCCTCGTTGACCACATTGATCTTTGCTCGAGCCCAAAGTCAACTCCACCTCTTGGATCATTTGTTTGTCAGATCCTTAAAGAAGGATCATTTGTTATTGGATCTTGGAAGGATTATTTATTGTCAGATCCTTCAAGGATCATTTTATCGGTAGAGTCCTAGAGTAGATCAACTGATTTGAAGGCATCCTAGCGAAAGATAAGAAGATCAAGATTACTTTGAGTTTTTTAAAGCATCGTCACAGTTTAAAGTGTGCTTTGTAACAAGTTGGACATGTATGATATATATGTTCCAGCTTGAAGGAGAGTGTTAAGGAATATATTATGAGATATTATTGAGATATTGGGAGATATGATTTGACATAATTTTATCTCATATCTAATTTATAATATCATTCTATCCTCTATTTAAGAGAATTTAGGGTTAGATGAACAATATAGTGGTCTCTTTCTATGTATATATAGATAGAACTCTGTTTCCTTTAATAATTAACGTGATCGGAAAATTCCAAGGGCAGCACCTAGATGGTCCGTTTAGGTTATCATTATGAGCAAAGGATCCTGCAAGTAGACGTGATGCTTTTTTATCGTCTCATAAAAAAGAATACAACAATTTTTCTCTGAAACAATGTTAGTCAAAGCTGCAGAAACATAATTGCAACCTTAGGCCATTGTTTAGTCAGTTTCCCCCATTTTAATGTAAATTTTAATGATTTAACATTGTCTTATATGTGAAAATGAAAATGCTTTATAATTAATTTCTATGAAGCTACTCCATACATAGTAGTACGTACATGCAACAAAGTCAAACAATTTACTCAAGGTCTCTTTCTTCCCTTTTCCAACCCTCTCAGCAAGCAATGCAATTCATTCAAGACAAGGGCCAACATTGTAAAAGAAGGTTTGGAAAGTGCTATACCTGGCATTGATGTCACAATTAATCCTGAGAAGGTATGTGTTATTCTGAGAAAGTGCAATGTATGGCGTTGATGCTTGCTTCTTCAGTAGAGCTTTTTATTTTATCATGTTTTGTCAAATTATTTCATGTTATATCTGTTGGTGAAGTCTATAGTAGCTTCCCATGTTTGTTGCATCGCAGAATTTGTTTGTAGCATGAATGAAGCAGACATGTTCTACATTTGGCAATTTCAGATGTACTCCGTACTTTATTTCAGGCTATGGAGTCTTCAATCTACATTTTTTATCTATAACCATCTTAACCTTTGGGGATTGCGATTATTTAACTGTGTAAACTTTGTATAGAATTTTTAACTTATTTTATGTTTAGTTGTTATTTTACATGTCCGCTGGAATCGTCTTCTTGCCTGACTACATTTCCTGTGGCCACTGAGATAACTTTTCAGGATTTGTTGATGTACATTGTTTTTGCGTATTCATTCAGTGTGCAATTTGTGAGGGGTGGTTTTCTGATACCACTATCATATTTTTATAGTCTGTTACACAGGTGTACAATGTTACTCTTGCTTTCCCCCCCTAAATGTACCTTGTTACTTGTAACAGTCTTTTTTTTTTTTGGGGGGGGGTGGGTGGAACGCGTAGGTGGGGGCGTGGGGTGGGTTCTATCGTTGAGCGTAAGCGAGGTGTTGTGAAATTACTGAGACTTGTAAAGAAACCTTGAAAGTTTTCTTCAAAGGAATAATAAAGTAGGTATTATCTCCTAGTTTATTCGGCTTTCGCTGTTAAACTTAAGCCAACGTGTTTGTATTCAGCTTTTAACGTGAGATTTGATATGCTTCTGCTATTTCTATTAACTGACAGATTATGCATTTTATTACAGCCTCGTCGGGGATGCTTTGAGGTTCGCAAGGCAAGCGGAGAAATTTTCATTTCCCTTCTGGTAAGTAATCTACAACAATTTTTCTTATTTATGTTTACATTATATGATGTAGTTATGTTTTTAAGTGATCAGGACTATTATATGATGCATCTATGTCCTTGATTGGACTTTTTTTTTTTTTTTTTGGGGGGGGGGGGGGGGTCTGATACCTCATATCATCTTTTTACTTTTAGAAAGCTCCGTTTTCTTTTATTAGTTTTTTTTGTGGTTCTGGGTACCATGTCAGTTTCACTCGTTTTGTTTTGTCTGATGGGATATTGTGACAAGAATCTAACAGTTATTGACAATTCTTCAGAAAACAAGCTTCAATTTCTATGAGGCCATATTGTTTCCTATCAGAAATCTTCATGTAGCATTTTACATCAAACTGCATCTCCTTTGGATTGATATACCTGCTGCAAATTTATCAAATGGACCACTATGCTACTAAAATTATGTTATCCAGTATGCATAGGATAACAATGTTTGTATTAATGTATTTAATGCTCCATGCATTCTTTTGTTGCAACTGGATGAAATACATTGATGTTCCTATGTTTTGAGTATCAATGTAGTAGTCTGAGCATGTTTGGCAACTTTGGATCATAATCGACTTGGCTCATAATCCACAAATAGATTATAAGCCAAAAATGTTTGGTAAATTTAGTAGATTATACTTTATTTTCAATAGCAGAGTATTTGGCAATGGGTGGCTTATAAGCCATCATTATTGTCAAAATGACCAAAAAGCATTTAGTAGAGTCGAAGATAGATAAGTGGGGCTTCAAATTTTTTGAAATGATCTGAGGCATATTTTTGTCGATCAAGCCTGGTTGCTTATAAGCCACCAAACTATAAGCTAGGGACCCTAGCTTATTTTTTGGTGGCTGTTGGCCAAAATAAGCTACTTGTCAAACATGTCAAAGTGGCTTATAAGGCACTTATGATCACTTGCCAAACATTAGTTCCCAAATAGTTGAATGTTAATGATTGCTTCCTTTCCTTCTTTTTATCTGATCATATGTAGGGCTTGAAACGACCATTCACACCGATGAAGAATCTCGACATGGACGAAGTTGTGGAGGACATTGTCAACAAAATCAAGTGAATATAGCAGTTAAACCCTATGCTTCAAACTTATCTTAGCATGTTACGTACATTTTGCTGCTTAGTTTGGTACTAGTTTTTGCTGCTGACAAACTTATCTAGCATGTTATGTGCATTTTGGTGACATGTTGTTCTCTGGAAGTAGCTTGATATGAAGGGCTAATGTTTCGTCTATTTTTGTCGAAATATTGGAGAATGGGATGGTAATTTGGATTTGAATATGCTATGATTTATGTGGGGAATGCTTAAATTTGCATTAAGTGAAGAAATCTTCTTGGCTTGCCTTTTCCCCCCGTCATTTTGTTATTCAGCTCTTTGTATGTTGAGGTAGTCGGCATATTGGCTCATTGCAAGTCGTCTCATTGCAGTTTGTAAGTGTTTTGGAAGTGTAGTTGATATAATTGTGTAATCTCCTACAAAAACAGGTTGCAAGTATTTAACGTAGAAAGCAATTTCCTGCGAAAGTGCAACTAAATGAACAATATATTTCTAATAACCAAAATGATCAAATGCTTCTCTGTTTCTGAAACGCCTTAAAATAAACAACTCAAATTATAAAGTTTGACTACTGTTTTCTATTTTTTTATTAAATTAATATTATTATGTAGACAACAATTAGCTTGTTGTTATTCCATAATAATAATAATAATAATAATAAGTTTGTTGCATTTGGTCATTGTTCTGCCAAGGGAGCACAAGTCAACTACCCAACTAACTAGGTAGCATTCAATTAAATCTCTATAAACGTGAGAATCTAACTATATAGGTATCAATCATGAGCCATAAACTCCATGGATTTAAATAGCTTTTTTTAAGAGGGGGAGAGGCGGAGTTGAGAAGGTTATAATATTATCCATCTTAAAATTGTGTTTGTTTACAATTTTAGTAAGTGAATGGAAGGACTGAGAAAATTAAAAATAAACAAATGTTCTTATTTTCTTAACTATCCTAAAGTGGACTGATTGGGAGGGGAGGATATTGATTTTAAGTGAATTGCTCTGGTTTTTTTTTTATTTTCTATTCTAAACAAACACATTAATTTCATCGTTCTCCCTCCCTCCCCATTCTCTAGTTGTCTATCCAAACATAATTACTTCCATTACATTCTCTTTCTCTTCTCTCCCATTAGTTTAAGTTCAACTATCCCCCTCTCTTACTCTAGGGTTTGGTATGGGTCGGTTCGAATCACAAGTCGAATTTGCTCAGCATGGTGTGGGTCTAAACCCGGCTCAACCCACACTTAGCCCGACCCAACCTTCCCTATATTGATGGCGGTTCACGGGCCGGGCTAGGTTTAAATCCAGACTCAGGACCAAAGCAGCAAGTCGGGCCCACTATAAGCCCGGCCCAGCTAACCCCCGTCCAACTGGAGTTTAGTTATAAATATTACTTTATTTAGCAAAAAATAAATGAGCCTCATGTAGTCAGGTGTTCCTACGAAGTCTGAACTATGCATATCTTTGTGTTTACGTTGTTTTTCTACGTGATGTTTACACACACACTGCGTGATGTTTACACACAAGCGCGCGTGCGCACACACACACATAATAAAATGAGATGGTGAGATAACATTCTTATCGTGAGATGGCTCGATAGGCTATCTGAAACAATGATCGACGTCGCACATCGTCATTTGCACTCATTATGTTCTATATATAAAAAAGTATATATTATTTTAAAACTTTTAATAATTATTTTAACTATGTGTAAAAGAGACGGGTATTAAGTTGTCTCAAAAATCAATATATTAAACTTATTTTATTCATATCCTAGAAGACTCGAAACTATGTAAAAATTTGACCATATATATTTGATGATGTTGATGTCAATTATCTAACATGGGGTTTAGTTAAAGATTAATGTGGGGTTGGAGTCTTCAAACTTCTTCATATGACTAGTCTGGAAACTTGGTATTCATTCCTGCACACGAAGAACTCGTAAGAGGTCGGAGTTGGGTTCTCCGGTTGTTCCTCCGACGATCAAGTTAATATATGAACTTGAGTGGGAAAATGTGAGACGCTGAAGAAGGTTTCGAAGTTGTGTGAAAAGATCAGAGAGCTACCTTGAGGTGCATGACTTTCTTTTATGGAGGATCACAAGGGCAGACAGGTAGCTTGAACTGAGTCCAGGTAGACAGCTGACAGGTGTCGACCACTAGCAAAGATTGGTCATCCAGGTGGTTAGTGCAAAGCAACAATAGCTGCATGGTGCTAATTGGGTCTAATGAGTCAAAGACTATGGAGGCTAGAGCAATGATGACTTTTGACCGTGCATTTAATGTGATGGCGACTAACTGTTGGTGGAGGACTCAAGGATGACCGCCTTTCGACTCGACCTAGTGAGAAGGGACGACTCGGGCCGTCTGTCGAGAAGGGACGACTTCTTACGAGAAGGTGAGAAGTACCGTCTTTTTAGTCGGCCCCGAAAGTTATCGACCCAGACTGGAGAGAAGGGACGCTGCTTGGTGAGAAAGGGCGGCTCGCCTGGCAAGAAGGAATGACTCGGACTGGCGAGAAGGAGCGACTTGACTTGGCAAGAAAGGGCGAGTCAGTCAAGCGAGAAGGGACGTCTGTTTCGGCCTTGCGAGAAGGGACTTCTGTCTTAGCCTGGCGAGACGGGACTCTTTGGTCGGCCTATATGGGTCGACTTGGGGTGCAATTTGCTTGAGACATATATGTTTGCGTCAAAAGTTGACTTTGTCATGGAATTCATTATATCTTCGGTCGATTACAACAAATTCAAAAAAATAGTCTTTTTTATAAGACTTCTTTTACACAACAAAATAAAAATTACAACTCTTGAGAAACAAACGCAGGATCGTTGTTTGGATCGCTGCTTGCGTGGGATCTTTGCCTGTGCCGGGAGCGCTTTGACTCGTGGACCACCAAATCACAGATTCTGATTGAATCGATGAGGGGTTTAATGATTCTTCCTTCGTTTATCGAAGTAAGAATTTGAAGCGAATATCTTATCGATGTAAGATATTCACTCTTCTAAAGATCAAGTCAGAGCTTAGATCTCTAGGAATCGCCAGAAACTTCTTGAGGATGTTTGTGAAGAAGGAAGACTCTCTTTCTTACTCTAATTCACCAAAACTCAAGGCTCTCTGCTCTAATCTGCTCTGAAAATGCTCCGCTGTGTCAATGATGGCCATAGGGGGGTATTTATAGCCTCCTTAGACGATAACTGAAGAAATAGCCGATCAACAACTGCCTCTTTAGGCGCGGCAGTTGATGCGTCCAAATGGCGCGGCAGTCGACACTGACGCGGCTAAAGGGGCAGTTACACCCACGTTCATACGTGTTTGAAACTGTTCCCCCATGACTTTTAACCATATTTTTTCGTGGTTTAACTGCATGTCCACGTCAGCACATGTTCTATCTCTAATATGCTGCCACGTGGGCTTCAATAATCATCAGATAACTCTATTGTAACTGCTGTAGCATCCCCTATAATGGCCGCGGCACCATGAGTTGCCGCGCCTTGGCCGCGACACCATAGGCTGGCGCGCCCGCTGTAGCCGCGGCACCATGAGCTGCCGCGCCCACACGCTGTAGTTTGCATTGTTCTGTGAATTCACATTGTTTTGTGTTGATTCATAGATCCTTTTGCTTCCTTTGGGCTTGTATGATCTCCCATGACTTAGATACTGATGTTTATCACATTCTCTTTGTCTTGAGTGGTTTTTGGATGTCTGTAAGCATTTTTTGACGCCTACGGATACCCCCTCCAAAGTATCTCAGACTCATCATTTTTTAGAGAGGGGTTTGGGACACTTTGGATATGATAACTTTCCTTGCAATTCCTCCAGTGCTTTGTTGAGGAAATTGCGTAGAATGGTCTGTGAATGGCTTCAATCATTGACTTCTTTATCTTTTAGCTTATTCAGTGCTTTGTAGAATAGCTAAGATTCCTCCGGTGCTGCGTCTATCGCTTGGCCGTCGTCGAAGTCTTGAATCAGAACTATTGTTGAAGAATAGAGAAATAGTTTATACTCATATGCTCTATTGGAGTGTTCGGGAGACAGTTTAACCTCATATACCCGTTGGGAGTTTCAAGGAGATGCAGTTTATACTCATATACTCATCGGAGTGTTCGGGAAATAGTTTAACCTCATATACCCGTTGGGAGGTAATCATGTTATTCTTAAGAATATTATGAGTAATATTCTCCAGAAACTTCCTGCTTTAGACTCATGTACCTATTGGAGTAATACGGTCCCTTTTTTGTTGGTAGAGATGAACCCAATGATGGAGAGGAAGAATTTTATATTCTATCTCCTGGTCTCTTGTTTGTTGGTAGAGATAAACCCGAAATCGGAGAGAAAGAATTTTACATTCTATCTCCTGGTCTCTTATTTGTTGGTAGAGATAAACCCGAAATCGGAGAGGAAGAATTTTACATTCTATCTCCTGGTCTCTTGTTTGTTGGTAGAGATAAACCCGGAATCGGAGAGGAAGAATTTTATATTCTATCTCCTGGTCTCTTGTTTGTTGGTAGAGATGAACCCAAAATCGGAGAGGAAGAATTTTATATTCTATCTCCTGGTACAAAGGAAACTCGAAGTGGGAACTCCACTTAGAGAATCTGGAGTGGTTTGAATAATCCTAACTGTCATAAGGTTTGATTACTCAATTCAAAAGTGGACCTTTCGTTCACAAAAATGAATCGAAAGGAGATTTTGGTTGTGGTCCTAACTGTAGTAAGGTTTGACCAGGTGGGAGTTTTGAGACGATCCTAACTGTAGGAAGGTTTGATCGTTTGATTTTTGGACCTCTCGTTCATTGAAGGAATCGAGAGGGGATTTTGGTTTTGGTCCTAACTATTTAAAAGTTTGACCAAGTGGGGACTTGAGACGATCCTAACTGTTTAAAGGTTTGATCGTTCAATTTGTGGACCTCTCGTTCATGGGAGGAATCGAGAGGGGATTTTGGCTTTGGTCCTAACTGTTTAAAGGTTTGACCAAGATGGGGATTTGAGACGATCCTAACTGTTTAAAGGTTTGATCGTTCGATTTTTGGACCTCTCGTTCATTGAAGGAATCGAGAGGGGATTTTGGTTTTGGTCCTAACTATTTAAAGGTTTGACCAAGTGGGGACTTGAGACGATCCTAACTGTTTAAAGGTTTAATCGTTTAATTTGTGGACCTCTCGTTCATGGGAGGAATCGAGAGGGGATTTTGGCTTTGGTCCTAACTGTTTAAAGGTTTGACCAAGATGGGGATTTGAGACGATCCTAACTGTTTAAAGGTTTGATCGTTCGATTTTTGGACCTCTCGTTCATTGAAGG